CAATAACTAGAACCACCCAATTATTAATTGTGACAAAATCATGGAACCAAAACCAACATAATCACTTCAGTTCGGTTCGATTTGAGCACTCGGGCAGAACTGACCTATTGACAGCCCTAATTTTTGGCCCCCTCTGAACTTTTGGATTACAACATTTTATCCCATTGTTAACATATATGAGTTAATTTTATCAAATATTCCTTTAAATGTTTCTAAAACCCCAAATTGTCTTTATTTTAAGGACTTATCTCTCTTTTGCAGTTGAAATGCCCCTAACAATGAGACTTTAACTGCAAAAAAAGATAAGTCTTTAAAATAAGGAATGCCAAATGCAGCCTTAGTAATTTTACTTTTACATTTAACTTCATTAACGGGTCAAGGGACGAAGCATTGGAATATAATAATACTGTTAATACTTAATACTAAAAAAGGGGGTAGTAATGCTTACCCCCTCGAGTTTTGTTTTATGATTAAAAAACAAGGTGGCAATCTATAAGTTACCCAAAAAAGTAGAAAAATGTTTGTTGGGCATAATAGACACTTGTCTTAGTTTTAGTGCATGTTTATTTGCAAATATATGTAACACGGGCTTTTACACTAATAATATACATTTACATTAAATCATAAAGGTTAAATCAAAGTATCAAATAACATAATTTTGTTATTACATCTTTATCTATTTACATATATCACATGCTCTTGCACTAATAAATACATAAGTTGAATATAGTGCAAGTCATAAAAATTAAGTTCAAATACTATATATCATATATGATCAATATTTATCTATTTATATATATAGCAAGATGGTCAACGTCAGCATGCCTCTTCTTGCTCCAAACCCTTTTTCTTAATTTTTTGTTTTTTTGAATTTTTTATTTTTTTAATTCCACATAATTATTCATTAAACCAATAAAGAAACAACATAAGCTAAATTATCTCTAACAACCATAGATAAAGAAAGAGGGAATTGATTTTCTAATGTTTAGTCAAGTGGCACCACTATCCCTCACTTTCTCCTAAATTATCTTTAATTCCTATTTATTTTATCCTCTACTTTGCCAAGTGGCACCATTTTCCCCCACTTTCTCCTAAATTATCTCTAATTCCTATTTATCCTCTCCCCACTTTTTAGGTACATCTATCTAAAGAAAGTTTGAATTAACAAATTTAAAATTTATTTAAATATTATAATCAAATTATATAATTACTCTAAAATATTTATTAAAAACACCAAAATAATTATAATAGATTTAATTATATTCATATTATTACTAATTTTCATTATTACAAAATTCATCATGAAATTATGTAGTATTAATATAAATTATAATTTTACAAAAACGTTATTCAAATGATAAAAATTTAACATTAAAAAACAAAATATTATTTAAATATTTTAATAACTAAATATCTTAAACAACAATATATTAAAAATAGATAAATAATTATATAACAAAATATTTAACATTATCTAATAACTTTAAAATAAATAAAATTCAAATTATAAAAAAAAATTAAATATTTAAATAACAAAATATTTAATATAACTAAATTTTAAATAGCTAAAGTAACGAAATTATGTAAAAAAAATCTTAAAAGTAGAAAAATGATTATAATAGATATCATAAATAAATAATTAATATTTTAATAATTCAAATAATGAAATTATTTTAAAAAAAATATTGTAAACTAATTTCACTTTTATCAACTAATAATTCTAGAAAATTAATTTTAAAAAATTAATATTTATTAATAATAATTTTAGAATCTGAATCTATATTTATATATATATATTAAAATTAATATTTATTGTATTTTCATTAATTATTTGTTTTTTATGATAAACATATTTTCAATAATTATGTATAATATATTTTTGTTATGTTATTTAACAGGAAATTTTCAATAATTGTTGGAGATTAAACTACTACTATTTAACTTTTTAAATTTAATTTATTGAATTATTGTAGTTTTGTTATAAATTTATTTTTTGCAATTATTTATTTTAGTTATAATTTATTGATTAATATTTATTAGGGATTAAACTATTATTTGATATTATACTATTTATTGCCTAATTTAATATAATTTTAGTATCTATTATATTTTTATTAGTTATGTATTGTATTTTTATTATAAATTTATTTTCAATAATTGTGTATTTTCACTATAGATTTTCAATAACTATTGGAGATTAAACTTTTGTTATTTATTAGACATTAGACTATTAGTTTAGCTAAAATTAGGAGTGTTTTGTTGTAGGCTGTTTGGCCAACCAAATCTACCTGGTCAGTGACCATTAGTGAAAACTGACCAACTTTGGTAGTAAGGTTTAGATCAATTTTTAGTTTAGTTCATTGTTCAAAATATTTAAACTTAAAAATTAAATTTAAATTTACATAATCATAGTGGAAATTTTTAAAAAGTAAATTAAAAATTAAATTTATGATATACAATATTTTAGACTAAGGAATATGGGAGTTTTCCCACTTTCCCTATTAAAAAATATATTTAAAATATAAAATATTAATATATATCTATGTAGGTTAGTTCGGTTTTGGTCAATTTACAAAAGGCCAAATTGAAACTTATCCAACCTGGTTAGGTTAGAAAATTGTTGAACCAAAGCCGATCGGAAATATTAGAAACTGACAAACTCAGGTTGAATTGGGCCATATTGGTCAGTTTCTTCAGTTTCATGAATAACCCTAGCTGAAATTAATTAATGTTATTTTTGTATTGTAAAAAAATTATTAAAAATAGTGTATTAAAAAGTTAAAATATAAAACAATTGCATACTCTTATGCATTTCTATTATTTCGCTTTCGCTAAACAAAGCCTATGCATCACATGGGTCCCCACTTGTATATATATATATGTGTGTGTGTGTGTGTGTATGTGTGTGTGTGTGCGTGTGTGTGTGTGTGTATGTATGTATGTATGTATAGCAAGTTGGTCCACGCRACCTTGCTTCTCCTTGCTCCATTACCTCAACCTTGCATTCTCCTTGACTCTCTCTCCTCTCTCTTCATTCCTCTCCCTTCCCATTGGGTTCTCCCCCCAACTCATGTCTCTCACTTTCTATAACAACCTAACTTCTCTCCTCAAATAGCTCAATACATGTTTTATACTCTCTTTCACTTCTATCTCTAATTCCCCTCTATTATCTCCACKTCCCCATAAAAATAGGGCTATAATTTATTAAGATTTGTTTTTTCCAATTCAAACAATATTTATATCTATAGATGTGATTTCAAGCAAAAAGAGGGGAATAAGGGGAATTTGATATTTCTTATATATTAATGGCATCTTCCACTGTTGTTAAATAATCCATTAGTCATGAAAATTATTAAAAATTTCTGGAAAACATATTATCAAATATTATGAAATAATTATTTTAGAAATAATCCATTATTTAACAAATATTAAATAATTTAATAATCTACCAGAAATTAATAAATAATCCTTTATTTAATAATATTTGGTTATTAATAAATGCTCAAAATTTCAATGTTTAGGGTAATTTACATCAACTATTGTAATTTAATAAAAATTCAATAAATTTTTACAATAATAATTTATTGATAAAAGATATTACTAATTAGTGTAATTTAATAGTTTCTATAAAATCAATAATTATAGTTAACAATTATTAAATAATTTAGGGAAAGTTTTTAACTAATAATCCATAATTATTTTTTAAATAAGTAATTACAAAATTAAGAAATTAATCTATGAAAAAAATATTCTCCAAAACTATTCAATTATGATTATTCAACAAATAATTATTAAAAAATTAGGAAATTAATCTATCCGAAGTTGTTTCACAATTATTTAAATAACAATCCATTATTATTATTTCAATAAATAATTATTAAATAATTTAGGAAAATTATTACATCTATTAACACCAATCGATCTAGACCACTTGGTTTACTTAAATCATACTTGGTTTTACATTAATTAACAACAAATGGTTTACATTTGCTTTGATTAATAGTAAACAATTTGGGCTTAAAAAGAAAATAATTTACATTAGTTTGTTGTTATTATAAATAATTAATTTACTATACATTTCTACTAATAAAGAGCAATTTCAATAATTATTTGGAAATTATCATAAAATATTGTAATCTCTTGTTATTTGATTTATTGTTAGTTAATTAGTAATAGAAATTTATTAGAATTATAGGGATGACAATTTTCCCTATAAAAATGGGGCCCTACCTTGCCTCACCCCGAATGGGGCGAGTTTTTTTCAAATCTTTAACAAGGACGTGGTGGGGGATAAGGGAAATATTTTTGCCCCAAATTAGGGATGGAATTTGCATATTATTCTCCAAACCCAATGGTAAATTAGTTAAATATTCGTAGATTTAATATTGATTTTTAAATTATCTCTAATTTGTCATCATATTCTTATAATCCTAAGATCCCATAATTTCATTTATAAAGTACCCCCAAATTGTCATAATCCAATTCCTAAAATATCCCTAAATTCCTATAATCCTATTTTTAAAATATCCATAAATTAGATTTTTTTAAGTGATTGTCTCAAGGTAAAAAAAAATTGAGAATTCCTTATCCCTGATGAGAAATGAATGCCTCGCCCCGCACCCACCCCACCRCTGAAATCAAGGTGGAAATAGAATAGAATGCTTGACTTATGAAGGTGAAAAACAAGGAGAGATGCCCCATCCCATGCATGGGCCTCCGATGGTTTACACTACTACTACTTGAACTTGCCTTGAGTTGGGTAAAGGCCATAAAAATTAAATCCCCACATCACATCATATATCACATGGTTAATCCTTATTATTAATCCACACTATATGATTAATACTTATTTATACATGTATTATATACGTGCTTTTACACTAGTTTGCAATGAGAGAGAAATAACCCAAAACAAAGTAAAAAAGCTGTTTATAAGACTATCATAATTCTTAACCAAAGATAGAAAAGAAAGAAAGAAATGCTCACTAGTAAATACTGCCTAAATAGTAAATACTGCATCATCATGCTTTGCTTGTTCGCACTACCCGCCAAAAGGAACAATAGTCCAAAGCTTCTTGGGCTTAGGCGCTTAGCTTCATTACCCATCGAATTAGAAAAATCAAGGCTTGTTTAACCTTTCTTAATCAGAGAGAAAAAAATCAGGTCTTTTTGTGAACATTGTTAGTTTGTGTTTCTGCTACACATATACAAGGCTCAAGGTTTTGCCTTCTCTCTTTCTTCCTCTTGAGTCTTCACTGGCTCGCTGTATCCTCCTGTTTTCTTGATTCATGTACGGAGAACGATTGATGGGTATCTGTTATTCGTCCACCTTCACTCAAACTTTGGGCTCTGAGAAGATATTGTCACCTCTCTCAACAATTTTTTTGGTGAATCATCTCTCTCTACAATTTGGATTGCTGTTCTTCCACCTCACCACAAGACTGTAGCTGTTATTATTCCCTGTGAGGCCGGCTTCCACTCTATTTTTTTCTTCCTTATAAAAGATTAAATACTTGTAGCTGTATTCCCCCCCTCCCCCCCCTATGGTTATATACTATATTTTTTCTTCCTTCTTTTCCTTTGTTTTTCTGTAAACCGGGAGCAGTCTATGTGATTTCTATGTGCTTTGCTTCATTGTTTCTGTACTTTTATTCAAAATTTCTTTGCTGGAATTGACTGTCCAAGCCAAGGTGCACAGGAGGAATACACGCCTTAAACGTGTGCACATGGGATAGGCGCCACCGCTATTCCGAGCACACAAGCACAGCAGCGAGACCGAGGCCAACAGAAACGACGATGGAGTCACAACTGAGTTTGATCGACCAGTCCTTCGATGCCCGATACTCATGTTGGGCTCGGGAAGCTCTCGACGAACTACCAGATAGTTTCACTATTACTGATCCTTGTATATCTGGCCACCCAATCATCTTCGCAAGCCGGGGATTCTTGAAAATGTCTGGGTACTTGAAAGATGAGGTGATCGGCAAGAACGGAAGGATCTTTCAGGGACCGGGGACCAACCGGAGATCGGTAATGGAGATTAGAGAAGCAATTCGAGAGGAGAGGACAATTCAGATAAGTTTGCTAAACTATCGAAAAGACGGGACGCCTTTCTGGATGTTGTTTCATATGACTCCTGTTTTCAGTAAGGACGATGGCAGGGTGATTCATTTCATCGCGGTCCAGCTGCCCATATCAAGGAAGCCCAAGTGCTTTGGGAGGAATTGCTGTACTTTGGGCGACGATGGGTCCAAATTGCGAGAGATTGTATTTGGGTCTTGTCGGAGGGAGGTGTGCACGGATTCTGCAGCGGAACTAGGTCGGGTTCGGACATTGGATTCATTCGTCGATTCTGATAATAGAGGTCTGTTTTCTTGTTTGTAGTTTCGTGAGTAGCTCTTTATATTTGAATGATTTTTGGTGGATCATCATATTTGAACCAAGTTTCTGGTAGTTCGCTAATTTGGTCTGAACTTGAAATCATGGACAGTAATCTCCCCGTTTATTGGTTCTGACTTCATTTTAGTTCATGTTGTTCCCCGAAAAGTCATTAATAATTTAATATTGGTTCTTGCTACTGTACACTTTGAATGCGGAGCTTGGTGGATATGTCAGTGATCCAGAAGTAGTTTCTTTCTTTCCTTCGTTAATTAGTCCGACCATAAATTATCATTTGTTTGGTTGGTAGTTTAGGTGCCTTGTTGCTTCAATTGGTATTTATAGAGATTTGCTTCTGATGRATGTCTTTTTTATGCATTTGAGATTCCAGTTTTTGAAGGTTCCTTTTTTTATGTTAGTTGAGTCTGGATGAGGTTAATTTGCGAAAAAAATTCTAATGTTTCTGCTTCTTATGTTTATTTTATAATACGGTGTTGGGTACATCTCTTTCCATCGGTAATTCATGTGATTTGTTGCTTGAGCTTTACTTCCTGAGAGCCTATTTTTGGTTGGCATGTTATTATGTACTTGTAATTTCCTTGCAAGTTTGTGTCAGTGTTTTTTCCTCTGTTGATTGAGTTTGTTTAAGCTAATTTGGATGTGGAATCCTAATATTTCTTCTTTTTGTCTTTAACTCTATATATTTTATAGTGTGGTATCAAGGACTTCGTAAATTCAAATGCATTTCAATCTTTCTTACAAATTAGTTTACATTATTTGTTCTGTATATCAATTTTAATTGTTCTTTCTCCCCTACCCTTGGTGACTTCTGCACATTGGTATTTTAGTGCTTTTCAGTAAATTTTAATTGAGGTCCAAGTGCTTGAGTTAGATAATTCACTGAATGATTCTAGCAGGATTGGAGGCTGAAGAGTTTTGTGAGGCAAGTGAGCTGGAGAAACGGAAAGCTGCAACAGCTATCAATAACATCCTATCTGTCCTTACTCACTATAGTCAGCTAACTAGCAGATTGGTCTGTGGGAAAAGATGCACCTTGGCAGGGACAGGACCTCTTGGTTCAGCCTTAAATATTTCTCTTGGTAGAATCAAACAGAGCTTTGTATTGTGAGTCGTTACAAATTTCTTCGTTTTTTTTCTTCTTTACCACATGTACACACAATGCTATTTGAAAGAATATTTAGACTCTGGTCTCTTTTTCTGACAACCATATGTGATGCCTGCAGAACTGATCCCAACTTACCTGACATGCCCATTGTTTATGCTAGTGATGCCTTCTTGAATTTGACAGGTACTTAAAACTATAATAATTTTAATATTGTAAAAATCATTTGATTCATGATTGTGAAGACAATTTTAGGATCATCCAATAGGGTATATGCTAACAAAGGCTGCAAAGGTTCCTTTACTTATTTGTTTGTTTTTATTTATTCTAACAGGCTATGCTAGACATGAAGTGTTGGGACGCAATTGTAGATTTTTAAGTGGACCAGACACAGATCCAAAGACTATATGCCAGGTGGGTAATATGATGCTTTTAGAGGTTTTCTTGAGATTTTACTTATGTAATTTGAGGACTTCAGTTTATTGGGTAGAGTTTATTTCAATTAGGTTATTTCATTTTTCTATTGGTTGTTTTACAGATAAAGGAAAGCATTCAATCTAAGCAAGCCTGTAGTGTACGTATCTTAAATTACAGGTGCATGTTAATGTCATAAAAGAACAGGATTTACAACTTTAATGTCTGACCGTTCAATCACTAGCTTTTCCTGATAACTTAATAATACTATAACTTCAGGAGAGATGGAAGCTCATTCTGGAATCTTCTTCACATTTCACCTGTCCGGAATGCTACTGGAAAGGTAATGTTGCACAATTTAACCATATTTGAAGTTATTTTTCTTATCCTCCTATTAAATGTTAATTTTGTTCCTCATTACTTTTACCAAATGTATTCAAGCTTCAGAGTTCATTGCTTTCATGCCTTATCACAAAATTGTGGTTAGGGTAAACATGTTGTATGTTCTTGCTCATATTATGGGAAACTTTGTTCTTGCATCTAAAAACCATATAATTTTATCCTCCATTAATGTATAAATTGTTTCATTATAATACTTGGTATACTTATGCCTCTAATATCACTCATTAATGAACTTTTACTAGGGTAAGGATTGAAATCTAGGTGGAAGTTATATAAGGGTCATTGCACATTTTGATCCAGTTATATGGGATCTTGGGAGGGGTGATCTGGATATGAGCCTAACATTTTAGCATTTATTATTATTATTATTATTTGCTTGCACAAGGTSTCTGCTCTCAGACTCAAACTCACATTCTCATAGTTGTCAGCTCGAGATAAGCTTGTTTATCCAGCAAACCTAGTGCAGATTTATAGCCRGAAAAAAGGGAGAGATCAGTTTTTCTTGAATGAATTRTGGATATAAACAGTCAAAAAAGTTTTGACGAGAGAAAAGATAATTTCCTTTTATGTTTCAATGCTTGAGTTACAAGGTTGACATGGAGAGTCAAAGTGTGGACTGCTGATGCAATATGCCTGTTGTAGGATGGTTATGGATATAAATTCATGGACTGCTGGGTCCTCAAACTGCTGCAGCCCAGTTATGTGCATTATATAAGAGGTTGGGCAGGTAGGAATCAATTGAACTACTTGTTTAATTGGATTCCTAGTACAAATGAGTAGGGATGCAAACGTATCGGATTGGATTTGAATCAGGGTATAYCTGAATCTGATCTGAAGATCCGATCGGATCTCATAAACACCGATTTGAATCTGAATCTGTTAAAGATGTTGGATATCCAAATATGATCTGATCTGCTTTAATTTCTGAAAAAGTAAAAAAAATGTAACAGTTTATATAAAGAAAAGCAAAAAAATGTAAGTGCTTTTTTCAACTATTTTTATCATATATATATATACACGTTTTTTATAAAACATAAACAATATAAAAAGTACAAAAAATGTAATATAAAATATTATACATATTTATCATTGGATTGGATTCTTTCGGATCAGATTGGGAGGGGGTGTATTTGAATTTGACCCAGTTTTCAATCAAATCCTATTATCTGATCCGATCGGATCATGATCTGACCCATTTGCACCCCTACAAATTATCTGGCTGATGAATTGGCCAAGACAGGGGYTACAAAAGAATCTTTAGAATGGGATTGTCCAAAGTCGGAAGGGAGGTTTTGTCTTGATCTTTATTTTTACTGTTGTAATCTGACAGCTGAATGCTGATTGTGTTGTGTCCTTGCTGCTTGGCTGCAAGGTTTTCTCATTTTGTTTAATGATATTCTGTTACTTTTAAGGAAAAAGAAAAAGAAAAAGAGTTCGGCAGGGCACTTACATCATCCAGATATTATTTTTCGCTAACATGAAGGAGATTAAAGTTTATAGACGTGCAGGCAACACCATCTAGACTTTCTGTTTATCTAGCCAATCATGTGGYTTTTGTCACAATTCTAGGTTTTGTCTTCACAAGTTGTTCTTGGTCAATTGAAACAACCTTAACACAGTTGAAGAACTGCTTGATAAATGGAAAACTTGTGCAGTAAAACAAGCAGGAATGATAAGTCTTGAATCTCTATGAACACTTGTGACTTGTGAGATATCTTTCATTTTTTCTCCTTATTTCTTCTTATGTGATTTGTCTGACCTGAATTAATATCTACTCTATACATTATGCATTCTACTTTTCCACAGAGAAAGTCCCTAGCTATCAAATATAACACACTTTGATGTTCTTTTTCTGTCTATGGGTAAATTGGTGAAATTGGCAACACTTCTTAATTCTTTTTTTTTTTTTGTGAAAACATTATTTAATTCAATATACTTTCTTAACAATATATTGCTGTGTGAAAGTATTCATTTTCTATTGTATGTGAAGGAGGATACAACTTAGATTAAAAGGAAAATTCTATAAAACAGTTGTAAGGCCAGCTATGTTGTATGGAGCAGAGTGTTGGGCAGTCAAGAAACGATATGCCCAGAAAATGAGTGTGGCAGAAAAGTGAATTCTAAAATGGATGCATAAAAAAAAMCTAGAAAGGATAGAATCAGGAATGAAGCCATCTGTAGAAACCTAGGAGTTGCTCCAATAAGTGATAAAATGAGAGGGAGTAGTCTAAGATGGTTTGGTCATATGCATAGAAGACCACCGATAGCTCCAGTTAGAAGAAGTGATTTGTTACAAGTGGAAGGGGATTAACAGTGGATATGGGTAGTAGTAGTAAAAATGATTTAAACACTAATAATTTRACAGTGGATATGGTTTTAAATAGAACAGATTGGTGAAACAGGATTCATGTTGTTGACCCCATATAGTTGGGATAAGGCATGGATGATGATGGTGATCTTTTACTTGTACTGCCATATAGATGAGCAGTATTTGTAATTTTGTTTCCTTTTTCTTTTCTACTTATTGGAGTCGGGGTTTTAAGCATCCATTCTGTGTGAAAAGAAATGATRGCATAAATAAGCTGTTTACTTGAAAGCATGAACAATCATTTATAAAATCAGACATGGAAACTCCAAAGAAAATGCCTGGGCAAAATGGTTCTTAGTCATCTTTTTTGCTTTTATGTCACCCCAACCTAAAGGAAATTAAATTAAAGAGAACCAATTTATATCTCTATTTTCAATCCCTTTTATCAAGAATAGCTCCTCTGCCTATTCAAGYTCTTGCTTAAATCTCTGTTTTACACAATGGTTCTGCTCCATGTCATTGTGGTCGAGTACAATTCAACAAACCCAATAACTGTTGTCTAATTCATCTAAATTCTCTCCATTTTGAGTTTTATCTATGAAGGAGAATAATTGATACTGGATAGCTGCAGGTCCTTGGGTTGTTGGATGTCCATTTGATTCTCTGAGTATATACCTCAAAAGCAACAATAACTACATCCACATCTGCAATAACCTTATTGCATTTATTTTCTTTCCTTATTTTTGTTTGGTTGCTAAATATCACCATTTACCTATTGGATTTTGAACAAAGTAATTGAAAATTTTTCTTAACCATGAATATGTAATTTAGGCTAGTCATTCTGAAGGGGTGAATCCTAGATTGAGCACATTATTAAAGGAGGGAATGACATTGTGTTTTCTTGTTTGAAATAACATGTAGAGAAAATCAATCAAAGATCAGTAATTACTTGACTACATTTCTTCTCTATCATCCATCTGGATGGTGGAAAGTATAGACTTGAAGGCTATGTTTGGTTTGAGGGAAARAGTAGGGAAACCTAATTACCTATACATGYTTTGTTAAGGTTTCCCTACCTTTCCCTTCCTTTCCCTACYTTTTCCTTCAAACCAAACACAGCCAAAATGTATACTGGGTTGGAATACCAACTTAATACAACAATGCCCATGGTTGGTCAATCTTCTTACGTCTTCAAGCTTTGGAGGTGCAGGTAGCATTTTATGTTGGGGTTCAGATGGAAGRAGGTGGTAAGAACGAGGGAAGTAAAGGGTTGAGTCCAGAGATGAGGCAGCTTGCTGCTGTGGGTGCAGTCAAGGTTGCAGTCAGGAGCTTATCAATGGGCGCTAGCACTTCAAAGTCATAGGGATAATCCTTTCTTCATCGGGTAAAGAGTAGAATGAAATTATTTGGCGTCCCCATGTTGTAGTACAAGGTGTTTCATTTGTATCTTAGACCCTGGTAGATGATAAAAAATCAACAAAGTAATGGACAGAATGTCCCTACAAGTAGGTCCTTACTAGCTGCTGTAAACTCACATAATTCATATATATTGAAAATGTTTCAATAATTGAATTGGTTCTTTCTGTTTCTGTTAGTGAGCAACAACGAAAACTGCCAGTTTGATCAATTGATCTTGACATGACAACCTCCTCCTTAACATGCAATGTAGGCAGTTTTCTTCCTTTTTCTTGGAACCTTCATGGTGAGAATCCCAACTAAGGTGTATAATTGGGAGTTTTGTCGTTTAATAAATTCTAAAAATTGTTTATTGGAATCTTGACCTCGTTCTTTATTTTGGCAGCCACTTGAAAGTAGAAACTATTCATTGTTTTTCTTGTGGGTAAGGGTGTGGATGGTCCGGTTTTGTTCGCTTAAATTATGGTTTGAGAAATTCTCAAGCCAAACCGAACCATTTTAGTATAGAAATTAAACCAGTCCGAACTGTTATATTACGGTTTGGTTTGGTCTGGGTTTTAATACGGTTTGGGCCATTCTATTGGGCTTAACCCAATTAAAAAGCCTAAATAACATGCATACGTGTATAAATAACACATATAATTGAAATGTGAATAAGTGTCACTTATTATTATTATTATATAAACTACATTCACACTTTTTCAAATATAAACAACTCCTTGGGCATCAAATTATAAGATAAAAAATTGAAATAAGCAACAATAATGAATGAAATGTTAAAATGAATAATTCGATTTAACATGATTTACGGTTTGAAAAATTCTCAAATTAAATCAAACTGTTTTAAGGCTAAACCAGACCAAACCGCCGACTACAATTAGGTTTGGTGCGGGTTGACAGTTTAGACCATTTAATGAACACCCCTACTTGTGCGTTAGTTAGTTACTTCTTTTCGCAAGAACAGATACTACAATAACAAGGGTTTGAATCGAAACTAAACAGGTAAAAATGGTAATGCAGCTCAATTTATAGTTATATTGCTATCTTCATAGGCATAATATGATCGAGTAGTCATAAAATCCTTTACTTATTTCTACTTTTGGATTGCAATTCTATGGAATTGTTGTAGCAGCAAATGGGCCAAGCCGTGCTCAGATGGCCATTCTACTTCGAAATAAATTGTTCTCAAAATTAGGCCCGGCGGCCAATGGGCTATTTAAAAAATCTATATTGCCCAGGCCTGGATCTCAACTCAAGATTGAAGATTCTTTCCAAGCCCCACCCCTAACCCCTAGGATGGATTTAGCCCGTTCTTTACCAGACCTGGTTTCAAAACAATAGTAAATCTATGAATACTAGTTTTCATGAGTCAACAGAAGGCTAATAGAAGAGTGGCTCATCTCTTGGCATAGTTATCTAAGATCATCCTTGGTTGGTTCGTTGCTCTGAGTCCCATTCTTTTAATTTTTGCTCATGCTCATTCTGGGCAGGAATGAAAATACCATGGGAACTTACCTGACGGACATTGATCCTCGGTAAACATCTATACCAACAGTTTTGGAGACTTATGTTCGCTGTTTATGATAGCGGGCATAGATTTTTTTTTTGAAGAATGAAAATTAGCAACATAGGGCACTTGTGGGTTTGAAAAAGAATTCATTTTTTTAATAGAAAAAGTGTTCAATTCATAATAATATTTTCTCATGAATTTCATCTTGGTACTAATGAGAAAGATTGAGAATTAGATTTTGAATGAATAGTGTCTATTTTACTTCTTCACCAAAGCCCATATGCGTTGGGTTGGGTGGTTTCAGTTCAGGTATTTTTATTGGAAATTTTGAATGAACTGATCTGGTCACTCATTAGTCATTGGGTCAATTTAAATGGGTCGGTATAGATTCATGAGGTGGACTATATTGGATTGCGTTGCATTGCAGTTGCAGCTCTCTCTACATGCGAATGGGTTCTCCTCACTCTTATGTAATTACAGAAAACTCTGTCTTCAGTTCTCCACTTAAACAAGATTAAACAATCAACCAAACAAGAATTTAACTGGACCGGGAGGACACGCCGCACAAGGTACAACAGCAGCGGAGAGTGATATAAAGAAAGATAAAGAAACATTGGTCAATGGCGATCAAGACCTACTTCTTTCTGTTCTTTTTCTTCTTCTCTGATCTTCTTTTGGTCTTCGCCATCTCTCCGTCGGAAAACAACATTCCTCCTCCGCCTGTTCCGTTGATCTCAGGAGGCAAATGGGTTCTTCTACATACAAGCATCGGCCTCTCGGCCATGCACATGCAGCTCCTCCATAACGATAAGGTCCTCATGTTCGACCGGACCGACTTTGGACCTTCCAACCTTTCTCTTTCGTTTGGACGCTGCCGCTTCGACCCCAATGACGTCGCTCTAAACATCGACTGCACTGCTCACTCTTTAATCTACGATATCCCCACCAACACTTTCCGACCTCTCATGGTGCAGACAGACACTTGGTGCTCCTCCGGCTCCGTCCTCCCCAATGGTACCCTCGTGCAGACCGGTGGCTACAACGACGGTGATCGTGTCATCCGCACATTCTCACCATGCATTGATGATCTGTGCGACTGGACGGAGCTTCCGGAGTACCTCTCCTCCAGGCGCTGGTACGCCTCGAACCAGATCCTCCCCGACGGACGTATCATAATCGTTGGCGGCCGGAAGGTGTTCAACTACGAGTTTTATCCAACAAATCTCGTAAACGAGTCCGCTCCGTCGAATTACTATCTGTCTTTCTTGGAAGAAACGAGAGATCCCTACGAAGAGAACAATCTTTATCCGTTCTTGCATCTCTTGCCCGATGGTAACCTCTTTATCTTTGCCAATACGCGCTCAATCTTGTTCAGCCACACTAGAAACCGGGTTCTTCGAGAGTTTCCGGCGATCCCAGGCGGTCACAAGCGGAACTATCCCAGCAGTGGCTCATCGGTGCTTCTTCCCATTAATCTAGCCGGTGGAAATGCAACCCAGTCACCGGAGGCCGAAGTAATGGTCTGCGGCGGTGCACCACCCGGCGCATTCGATCAAGCTGAGGTTGGCATCTACGTCGGGGCGTCGAATAGCTGTGGTCGTCTCAAGGTTACGGACCCTAAACCCAAATGGGTTATGGAAGAGATGCCCATGGGTCGAGTCATGTCGGATATGCTACTCCTTCCCACCGGCGAGGTCTTGATCATCAATGGCGCAGCCAACGGAACGGCGGGTTGGGAGAATGCGATAAACCCGGTTCTCAACCCGGTGCTTTACCTGACGTACGAGCAGGATCCGAGCCGGAGGTTTAAAGTTCTGAATGGTTCACCCATTCCAAGGCTGTACCACTCGGCTGCAGTGTTGCTTCCAGATGGGCGCATTTTAGTGGGGGGCAGCAATCCTCACAGGCTCTACAACTTCACCGACGACGTCAGGTACCCAACTGAGCTAAGTTTGGAGGCGTTCTTGCCGCACTATCTAGCCGCGCAGTACGCCTTGCTCCGCCCTTTGATCGTGTCGGTGGGTCCCAACGGAACCTCCAGCTCCATATCGTACGGGCAGAAATTCTCGGTGACTTTCGCTCTGTCTGTTGCATACCGGATTGAACAAGACATCTCGGTTTCGGTTACACTGATAGCACCATCGTTTACCACACACGCGTTCGGGATGAACCAGAGATTGGTGGTGTTGAATGTGATTAGCCTCTTGCAGGTATTCACGTCCGCCTATCAAGCTGACCTGGATGGGCCCACGACATCGTCTGTTGCTCCACCTGGATATTATATGCTGTTTGTCGTCTATGCTGGCATTCCGAGTCATGGGTTTTGGGTAAAGATAGGATGAGATGTGCTGTACGATTTAATACGGTGTATCCTTATATATATTACCAGAACCAGATGATCAGGTCAAATATTTGATTGATTTCGATTTATGTTGGGGTGTGCTCGTRCGTATGACTGTATGTGCGCGTTACTTTGCATTTTTTGCGTTTAACGATGATGATTGGATGGAATCATGGGACCCATAGTCCCAACAAAGTCGAAGTATAGTATTCACTATTCAGACAAGGATAGGCCTCTAAGGATTTTGATTGGCTGTTATTTGCCATCCAGATCACAAGAGTTTCAAACCACGAAATTTCCACGTGGCATATCAAAATCACTGCCTCTAACTCCACGAAATCCGAGCAGCAGATTGAGCGGAGAAAAATAGAAAATCTCTGCTGCTGCAGTGCTTCGTTTTTTCTCCTTCAATGGCGGGATTAACAGCAGCTGCTCCGGCTGCTTATTTGCAGAAATTCGAGAATAGTCTGCCGTCTTTGAGACCTAGGATTTCTCGTCTTTCTTCGGCCAGAAGAACCCTAAAAGTCGTTGCCATGGCGCCGAGGAAAAAGGTATAATAAATAAGTTTAGATCTCTTCGTATTGGAGCCGATGCGAATTCATAATCTACTCCTTCGATTCATCTTTTTTGGGTTGCGATCTGGTTTACAAAATTTCAGGTGAATAGGTACGATGAGAACTGGGAAAAGCAATGGTACGGGGCTGGGATATTTGCTGAAGGAAGCGAAGAGGTGAATGTGGACGTATTCAAGTTGCTGGAGAAGAAAAAGGTGCTGAGCAACGTTGAGAAGGCTGGATTGTTGTCCAAGGCCGAGGAATTAGGGTTTACGCTGTCGTCCTTAGAGAAATTGGGGGTATTCTCCAAGGCAGAAGAGTTGGGGCTGCTGAGCTTGCTTGAGAAAGCAGCGAGCTTCTCCCCAGCCACGCTAGCATCGGTGGCGCTGCCTCTCTTCGTTGCGGCGATAGCTGCTATCGTTTGGATACCCGACGATTCGGCGGCTCTGGTGGCGGTGCAGGCCGCGGTTGCGGGCGCGCTTGGTGTGGGTGCGGCCGGGTTGTTTGTCGGGTCAGTCGTGTTAGGTGGATTGCAAGAGGCGGATTGATTMGGTGGACTGCTTTGATAGTTAATGTAGGAAATGCGTAATTTGTTATATGTAATTATATAACAGTTGGATATGGTAATTCAAGTGTGAGATATAAACTGAAAAAGAAAATTGTATTATAGGTGGTATCCATTCATCTACTTAAAGTGATTTTTTTTTCGGTTTGTCGGATTTGAATTCAAAATCCGCTTCGAATAAGTGCAGAGTGATAGAACAGAGTAAGTGCCTCAACATGCTGTATATRTGATCTTGTGTTGTGGGATTCCCTGTACCTCTTTGATAAAGCAAATTCAGGCAAACAATAGAATAGAGTATAAACTATAAAGCATCACCTGATTGCCAGTGGGTGGTAAATCTATGGATCCAGATATTAGTAATAGGGTAGATATGCAGAGCCCCATTTTTGTGTTAGCTCCCATCAACATTGGATAGGCCCAATGACACAGTAATAGCTTATTAGAGAATAAGTTGATGGTGGTGGGCGAGTGTGTGGTTAGACCTGTTCATGGGTCGGGCCAGGGCGGACTTTCATTTGTCACTAAAGAAAATATACTTGGCCCGAGCCTGATCAATGGGCCTATAATTTGGGTCAGAGCTCGGCCCTGGTAAAAAGCCCGAAACCCAAGCCCGAGCCCGAAGCGACCTAATTAAAAAAAAAATAATTTTCCCTCTTCAAATTAGAATTAAAAATTCAGATAGTATTTTTTTTTTCTATTTAAATGAACAATTGGCCTATAAGATGGTATTTTTCCCTTTCTTTTATATTTTAAAACACAATTTTACATTCTTAAATAAAAAAAAATTATTCAAATAGATATAATCACATAACCAATTTTAAGTTTAATATTAGGTCGGGCCGGACCGGGCCCGGGCCGGGCTATTTTGACAAAACCCGAGCCGGGCTCGAATTTATTGCAGGTCGGGCTTTTTGGCCCGAATTTAAGCCTGTGGGCCTATAAGCATGTTCAATCCCGTCCGGGGGTCGGGCCACCCGGCCCATGAATAGGTCTATGTGTGATGTGTTGGGGGGGGGGTTTATTATAGATCGTGGCTTCAATAGAATAATCCGAGATAAATTGCAATTTGCGAGTTCAAATCAGCCCCTCACAAGACTGCACCCCACAACGTCTTACGGTACACGCTGTGTATTGGAAATATCTCCAGATGATGACATCATCATTTCTAGTATTATCATCAGGCGGGGATAAGCTGTGGGACGTTGTGGGCTGATTTGATCTCGTAATTTGCTGATCTGGATTCTGGAACTGCCTTTTCTATATTTGTTATATAATAAACTTGACAGTGTTAATGATGAATTCTTAATACTACCTGTGCTATCCATTTTATAAAGGCTAGGGCAATTCGAATTGGCTGTTTTTTTGAGTGGAATACCTGAATATATGAACTGCATTTATTGGGTAATTGGGGTGGATTCTTATCCTCCTTTGTTAAGTGCAGCAAAATTGTGCATTCTAGGGCCCTGGAACTCATTGTGGTTTTCATGGTAAATTACAAAGTTTCTCCACAGAGTGCAGTGCAATTTGTCAGCTAAAGTTGAGTCATATAATCCCAATTTCTGATCAGTTGGCCAAAATCATCTGGTTGGGTGAATTGTTGACCCGTCCAGCAACATCAATGGATGATGTTCTCACAATCTCATCTATGGTTGAAAAAGCAGACAATAGATTAATGCCGGTTTTTAGTGGGAGGTATTCATATATTCTTTTTGTTTTCTTTTGAGTATCTGATTGGCACTGGATTCCTTCATAAGGTAATTAACCACTTTTTGGCTCTTTCTCTGATTATGGAGTATCTCATAACTAGGAGTGAACATTTCCATCATGGCCCAAAATCTCGGACCAGCCCAACCCACAATATATGAATATATTACATATATTATTTGTACAAACCAGGGCCCAGCGTGGCCCATGATCATCCCTACTCAGAACCCTAAACAGCTTTCAAGTTCTCTGTGTTTGTAGGTGATAGATAATCATCTAAAGATGTGTTGAGAAGGAAAGGCAGAGACATTCACAACCAAGAAATTTTTTTAAGAAGAATTAATTGGAACAAAACACGGGCAGAACACCCAAACCCATGACTCGTCCCTGGGATCAAATCCCGCTGCCACCAGGGATTGGGTTGGGGGCGTTAAGGGAAAGGGGATGGGCTACCCCCTGTTGTGTAGCCCCATGAAGCAAAAAAAAAAAACAAAGGCTATTTCTTTCTCTCTTAGTGGCATGAAAAGTAGACCAGTGAATCATGAGGTATATCTAAAGCTGAATAGCTGATGGTGTCGTTGAACTTTCATTCAAATTAGCTCCCAAGCTCTTTTCAGTAGTCAGTGATTGGGTATGATCCTTCTGTATTTGTATCGGCTGGCCCAGAAGAGGTAGTGGAAGAAATTCAGTCCACTTAGTACACACATCAGCCAGTAGAACCGTTCGAGATGGTAATAATTTAAATTGCTACCGGAGAGCCATGGTCTGTGGGTGGGGGTCCCTGTGACGCTGTTCACAATTGATACAAGCACAGAACTGAGGTAGTATCCCATTGCTAACGAGGCCCATGAGAGAGCTGTGGCCAAAGATCTCATGCTCGATGGTGCCTCCGTAAAGAAGAATTCCAACAGACCAGCCAACGTGAAAAGGTCAGCTGATCCGAGGAACAAGTACTGCAATGCCACCCAGAAGAAGGTGATGGGTAGAGGTTGTTCGGAGTCGAGCAGTCCAGAGTGGGAAGCAACCCTCTTCCGCTTGATCTCTACCAGAGCTGCTACTGCCATGGCAATGATGGATAGGACCAGCCCTATACCTATCCTCTGCAGATGTGATATCCCCATCTCTGTTTTAGTCACTTTCCTGGCAAATGGGATGATGAGATGGTTGTAGACTGGTGCGAGGATCATGATGAATACGACGGGAAAGACAGGGAGGGAGGCTGGGGGGACCTTCAGGGAACCGAATTTGGTGTTCATCGTTGCTGCTTGTTGAACAGAGAAGGTCGAGAGCTGGGCAAGGCAACAGTTGAGCATGATGGTGCAACCAAAGATGGGGAGGATCTTAAACACTATCTTGACCTCTTCTACCTGCGCTGTGGTGCATTCTAGCGCTGCATTGGCAGGCTTGTTCGTAACAGCTCGATTAAGGAAACTGAGGCCTTTGGTTAGTGTTTGATCAGTCGTCGGAACCTTTTCTTTGGACTTGTCTTCTTCTTCCTCGCTACTTTGGGTCTGGTAGGATGGGCTTGTTGTCATGCTTGCAACAGCATTACTTGGACTTGAACTAACGAAGACATTGTTGCAAATTGCGGCAACCAGAACCTGTTTGATGAAAAAACTTACATATTACTTTCGCGAGAGAGGAACATGTGGGAGCAATTTTGGTTGGAGGAGGAGATTTTACGTGTAAGACAAAAGCAGATCTATCGGATGAAGAAGGAAATGGACTGGGATAGAACTATACTAATTGGACCGATTCAATTAATGTAGTCCTTGATGATCCAGGCCTTCGGTTTTAACTTTCATACCTTGAATATGGTTGTAAGTGGGCTTCCAGTGGGTATCTTGTTCCTGTAAGTAGCTGAGCCAAGGAGAAAAATGGGGATGGACAAAAGTATGGTAGCAGTAGAAATACCAAAACCCCATTCCCAGCCCTTGTTATCTTCGATCCAGACCACCAAAGTCACCGCAATTAGAGCACCAAAGGAGAGACAGAAGACGAAATAATTGAAAAAGGTGGATCTCTGCTTTCTCCCCTGAGGGGTGCTCTCATCAAATTGCTCGGCTCCATGTGTTGGCAGTGACCCCTTGATTCCGCCCACACCCAGCGCCACCAGATAGAGACCTCCGAACAACATGGCTGCTTTGCCGCCATGGACTTGTAGGCATGGGACGTCAGTTTTGGCCGGGTCACACGCCGGAGGTTTGAGTGATGGCAAGTGAGCTTGCACAGTGAGGAACACTAGTCCCTGTTCCAATGTTCAAATTTCAAAAAGGATTAGCCAGTTGGAAAATAACATCTATGGGCACCTCTTATTATTATATTTTTTATTTTACAAAGAGAGCACAATCCTGGTGAAAACCGAAAAGGAATTACTCAAATTCAAAATGGAGGGAGAACAAGAAGATGGTCGAGATGGATCATTTCATTAGAGGACAAATTTCATCACCATTGGGGACTGGGGGGGGGGGACCTTTCTTGTGTGATGTATGATATATCTTCCAGCTAGCCAATTAAATTGATTGATTTGAGAAGTGAGAAGGAGAAGGAGAAGATATATAGATATTATCCTGGCTACAAAAAGTCTCTGGAATTTTGATGATGAGTGGGAATGGAAGGTCCTTTAATTTCTGTCAAATGGAAACAATAGGGAGGGTAGTGTATCAATCTAGAGTTTAGCCACATATATACTACGGTCTTCCAGCTCAAACGAAGAGGACACGACGAGGCCAAGAATCTTGTGGACGACCAATGGCAGTTGAGGATGGACAGATAAGAAACAGTGTCCAGTAGTGAATGCTTGATTGGTGACCGATTTACAGTATACATGACAAGGACCCTACAGCTACAACTACAAGGACTAAGGGGTCGTCTTTGTAGTTTGTAGTTGCCTCCCGCGCGACGTATGGCGCCGGTCATCTTGCTTTTGGCCTTTGGGGTTAGCTAGCTAGAGACAAAGGTAATGTTGTCACTGTTGTGTATGGCACGTGAAGTGCCCTCATCATCAGTTCCACGTGGAGGCACCATTTCTTAACACGTGGCATGCGCTTTACACAAGAGACAATAAGGTGACARTACCCTCTGCAGGTTAGAAGGTCTCCAGACAAATCTTGAGAAAAATGGAGGGGAGATAAGTTGAGTGGTCGGATTGGACCAAGACAGAGACCAATAATAATCTAGATGATATGGCGCTAACTAAATATTACTACCAACAGAAAGAAAAGAAAGGAAAGAAAGGGAGGAAAAAAGAAATGGTTCGTTTGTCTTGAAGCCTTACCAGAAACTCGATCACTGCGCTTATCAGATAGATGTGATAAGTCGTAAAGAAAGCATCTGACAAGAACCCACCAAGAAGGGCGAGAAGAAAGGCTGTCCCCATGAAATTGGTCACTGTGTTGGCCGATTTGGATGGTGAGAAATGCATAAACTTGGAGAGGTAGAGCACCAGGTTGCTTGCATTGGCTAGGTATGCCAGGTTCTCCAGTATCTCCACAACTGATAATGTTTTTATACGACACAATTCACAACATATATGTTAGATTAGATTAGATTAGATTATCACAGATAAAGGAAAGGGAAAAGAAAAAGCTGCAACTGCACAGAGATGGGTTTTTGGTGCAGAACAGGAGCTAGAGAACTATACTGATCTGTTCTCATTCTCATTTTCATATATAATCACTTAGTTAACCAAGTGGAAAATTTATAAGCAAATCGACGACGAGGTTGATCATTTAATTTATATATGTACCTAGTACAAAGGAGGACGCAAGCACACCGCCATGGCGGCCTCTCAAGGCTGGTCTGTTTCTCCAGTCTACGTAGCCTTCCCATACGTCTAACTGGCGTCCTTCTTCCTGTAACAAAAAACCCACAAAAGAATTAAGTTGGAGCACAAATCATGAAGGAATTGAAACCGATTGAATAAAGAGAAGAAATTAAAGCAATGGGGAAGAGGAACCCACCATTTCTTTTCAACTTGTCCTCGATCTCTGGCGGAAACGGCAATCAAATAACATTTGGAGAGAGAGTGATGGATGGTGCCAGATTTAAAGAGTGGGAGGAGGTGGGGGTCCAATTCGTGGGGAAAGATCTAGAGATTACTTCAATCCTTCGTAGCCATTGGAAAATTCTTTTTTTTTTTTCTAATTTCATTTTTTTTAAAGACTTGGTTGGTAGAGAAGTGACTCTTTAATCACCAAGGAGGTGAGGTAGGATGAAGACTGAGAAAATGGTTTCTTTAGTTTTACCTGCAGTTGCTTGTTTACAGAGAAGTCTGTATACATCAGAGAGAGAGAGAGAGAGAGGATAAAAGAAAGGGAGAAGGGAGAATCAAATCCTCCCCACCTAGTTGAAATATTTGGGCTCTGTTGTCTTGTTTGACCATCAATATCAGTATTAAATGCTAGGGTCGATTCCACCACCACCCCATTTATAACATGTTGCATAGCTTGTAGCATAAAATGGGCAAAGATAAAAATGATCTCCTTTTATGTTATTATATTTCAGAGATAAAAAATTTGATTCACTAAGCTTCTAACCGGTCAGGGGTCCGGTTATCGGGTCAAACGGTCCAACCGTTTGAATCGAATGTTTGACTCATTCTGATAGAAAAATAAAAAATTAAAAAAATAAAAAACGGTCAAAACCATTCGAACGGTTAATCACTCGGTTCAGCGATTTACTGATCAAAATCAACGGTTTTAAGGGAAAATCTGATTTTTGAAGAAAACGGAACCAATCAGGTGACCGGTTCCTAATTTTTCCAGTCCGACCATCCAATCTGATCCGATTTTGAAAACCATGGCTTTTATACTCCACCAGTATGGTACTTTATCCCATAAGCAGTAAGGACGTGGGATATGTAGATTGCACCAAGGAGTATGATACATCCCACTGAATTCCCCAGAGTCAGGCCCATCCCACCATTTTCCTTTGCTTGCTTTGGATCCACTGATGATCAGTTTAGGCTGATACAGACCAAGACATGAATCAACACAAACTGATACAGAAGATATGGATATTTTTATGGATCTAATTAAAATATAATAAAAGTTTAATAATTAGGTACCATTGCTTGGTATGATGGTAAAAGCTTGGGCAAGCATGAGAGTGCATGTTCTAGTCAGATCATTCACTTTTATTTTTTCTATAAAAAAAACCCTAGATACCTTTTTTAATATTAATACTTGTAAAATTGTGTAAGAAATATATATATATATATATATATATATATATATATTTGCTTATCTAAGTTAATTTGATTTCTGGACTTGTAGCTCCCATGTGCAGATAATAAAATTGCAATATATTATTATCATAGATATATTATTTGGTAGTGATTTCATGTGTATATTGCGTATCAATGTAAATTACAATTGACTATATTTTGATTGCACCGCATTACTTCACACGAACAGCCAAAGTACGTTTGGATCGAACTAGTTTTCTTAATTAACTATATTTATGTGTATCTTAATTATTCCATTGTATCTTCGTGTCTCTCAAATTTATTTTAATATATTTCTTAAACTTATCTATTATTCCTGATCTTAAATGCATATACCCACCTCCACTCACGCTTTTCACTGGTGGGTAAGACCGGAGCTTTAGAATTTAGAAGACATGGTCAAGGGTTCAAATATCTCCTACTTACCTAACAAAATATCTAACTTCTTCTTTTTGCTGAAACACATCTTACTTGGGGGGTTGAATTTTTATGATCCAATCTGCCAACCCATGCAATACCAGCTTTGAAGGTGGGTCTGGAATTCCTACACTTTTAATTTTTAACATCCTTTTTGTTGTTGTAAGTGTTCCATCACATAATACTTACAGACATTTAAATCGACACTTGTCACAGATTTGAATGAAAGTGCAAGAAAAAAGTGCAGGAGATCCAGACCCGTTTGGGTAGGCATGTCCCAACTCAAATTGGAGAAAGGGCCCTCTTTGCCCGTTTTCGGCCACTTATATATATTCTACCCGGAATTAGCCAAACAAGGTCAATCGTGGAAGAACCTAACTAAGCTTGGTTTACTGGGGTCCGGGTCTCCACCTTTTTCTTTTTTTTTTTTTTTTTTTTTTCTTACATTTTAGGGCCAATTGTGTTTCCGGGTCTAACCTGAATAAGGTCGGGCTTTGGACGGGCATTTGCCAATCTCAACTCCATTGAATTCACCTGGGCCACTGGTTCTGGTTCTGATTTCTATCACTGGCCCTTTTGTTGAAGGAAATGGCGTTTTCTTTTGTTATATATCAGTGTCCGTAGGCCAAATGTAAGAGAAACAATTTATTAAATGAATTGCAAAATGTGAGCCAACATAGTCAATTCAAAAAATCTTGATCCCGATCAGAATCTTCGGCCTGGAGGAGTGGGGATAAGGGTTTTAACAAAGAGTTCAATCAATAAGTCAACTTTGGGGAATTGTTGTATGTTTTTATAATGTAATTTCTTTTTTCAATTTAAAAAGAAAAAAAGAATCACGTTCAACAAGTGCTATATGGTACAATATTTTATTTTAATAGCGAAAAATTTATATTTTAATAGTGTGGCATGCTGGACATCCCATACGTTACGGTAAGGTTCAAAATTTTGATACGATAAATATGCTCCATATCTGCCCTATTATATTGGGAAAATTTCACATTAGCATCCGGTACTTCGGGCCCATGCCACTTTGGTCTTTAAACTTTAAAATGTGACAATTCAGTATTCAAACTATTAAAGCGTGACAATATAATACCTATCGTTAACTAGTTGTTAACCAATCGTTAAGTAAGGGTGCAAGTTGGGCGGGTTGGGCCAGGTTTATGGTCAACCCAGGCTCAACCCTAAAATTTGGGCTTAAGGCCCAAGCTCGAGGTCAAGCCTGATTTTCCCAACCCGAGCCTAGCCCGCCCTATAATTTGATGCACTTGGGTTGGACTCGGGCCCGGGCTGGGCTTGGGTTGGTGAATGAACTCACTCTAAAATTATACATATATATATATGTATTTTATGTGAATATATATACACATATTTATATATGTATGTAAATATGTAGGGAAAATATCTATACAAATGTTAAATATACAAATATGTATGTATATATATGTAAATGTGTATGCAACATTTATATATATATATATATAAATGTATATAATTGGACTGGGCTCGGGCTGGGTTTGGGTTACCTAAGGGCTAGGCCCGAGCCCAGCCTGAAAAATAAAAAAAGCCTGATTTCTTGGGCCCGAGCCCAGCCAAGGTCCGAAAATCCAAGCCCAGGCCGTGTAAAATTACGAGTTGGGCTTGCCCAAGTTGCACACCCACCGTTAAGTGATATTTGAAAAAGACACAAATGGCCTTCAAGTGTTATTTAATTTTCTTTATCAACAATCTAAACGTTGACAAAAAAATTAACAGTCCCAAATCTTTATCTTTTTCATTCAAGAAAGTTGGGGTCACGTTTGAGTGGGCATTCTGATGACTCAAACTTTCTTGAATAAAAGGAGCAAGGATTTGAGACCGTTAATTTTTTGTCAATGTTTGGATGGTTAATAAAGAAAATTAAATAACAATTGAAGGATATTTATGTCTTTTTCAAATGCTACTTAATGACTGGTCAACAACTAATTAACATCAGGTACTGGATAGTTATGTTTTGAAAATTCCAATATTAAATTATCACATTTTAAAAGTTTGAAGACCAAAATTGTACTAGGCCTAAAGTACAGGATACTAATGAATGCCTTTTGGCCTTCACCTATTTCAAAGGGTAGACACTAGACAAGCCTAATACATGCCTCCTGACTTATTTTTAATAAGAAAAACTAAAAAAAAGGCTTGCATTATTTATGCACCTCTTGAGGGGTATTAATACTTTGAACCTTAGTTACGGCTACACCCGAATATTTTGTTAATTTACAACCCTAGAGAAGTCTATGATACGATAAGGTTGCGTTTGTTTCACTAAGGCACACTTTCACAACGACTCATTGAGATTTCTTTTAGAGTTTCAGTGTCGAGTCAGTAAGTAAGTTCAGAGTTCCTTAGTGATTCATTGATGGCATTAATACTATACCACATTCCCACTAGCAGATCGAATGGTACTGGAAGAGCTTTTCAGATAGCACCTTTAGTATGTATGTGACTGTTCGTTTGATTTGATGAAATAGAGGTTTGGAATCGAAATTAGAATGGATTATTTGTGRAATCAGAATTCTATTCCTATTTCTGTTAGAATGACATTTTTTCAGTTGAGAGAATAACCATTCTCTGCTTCCCTTTAAGAATGAAATATCATTCCTGCTAATTTTAATTTTCATTTCCATTCTGATTCCAATTCTAATTCCAGTTCCGACCATAAATCAAACGGATACTAAGCGTTTTAGTTCGGCCACTCCAACAAAGCATGTAAAAACATGAAAAAATATTTGGCAATGGCCAATGGAATTGGTGTGTGAAAGACTGAAAGCAAAGCAAGTACATTTATTGTGAAAGACTTAAGACTCTCTCTCTCTCTGTGTGTGTCTCACACACACACACGAACGATGATTATAAAGTCAAAACTCAACATCTGAGCAAAGCCTTATCCCAAGCTCAGCTCCCAACTATTTGGGGTTAAAATTAACAAGAGTTATGTAGCCCTTTGAAAAATCCAACGTGCCGACTTGCTTATCCAACCACCTCAATCCATGGATCACATGTCTATTTTTCACTTTTTTTTATTATCTATCAGTCACATGGGTACACATCAGATACACAGAGACAGAGACAAAGACAGAGAGAGAGAAGCAATGCTGGAGTTGGACCATGTGGATTATAGAGGTTAATTAACCTTAATTCTAAAGTCTTTGCTTAAAAAATTATTTGGTTGTGATCAACATAATTTATTATTTGGATTAATAAGTATTCTTATCACATGGTCCTTTCACTAGATGATGATGTATTAGCAGGCCAAATTAATCCATTTGGATTATTCATAGTCTCAATTGGATACACCAAAGCTAATAAAGTGTATTTAGAATATGAGATTCCATTGCCGGGCGGGTGCCAAAATGTATCCATCAATTATGTTTTTCAAGCTAGATAAAAAGAAATTCCCTAGTTTGAAAAATTCCAAATTCAACAGCTGCTTTAACCCTTGGACTAATCGGAGAGCACAACCTTGCCTCTGTTCGTGGATATCAATTCATGCATGGGAGGTCCGTGAAATTAAAAGCAAGGTTGAGACTTGACTTTTGAGAGAGATAGAGAGAGAAACTCAAACTGGGTGTTAATATCATCACTTTATTGAACATATATAGAGTAAAAGTGAGATTTATATATATCTTCTTCTCTTCTGTTAATTAGACGACATTATACCTGAAGCAAGTCGTTAGGGGCTGCCCTATAAA